GAGAGGAGGCGTGGGAGAAGGAGCGGGGAAGGAGCGGGAGCGGGGCTATGGCGCGGGAAGAGGAGCAGGAGGAGGGGGAGGAGGAACGGGGGGAAAGGCAGGAGAAGCAGCGGAAGGAGGACGAGCAGCAGGAGGAGCGTGAGGAGCAGCAACAGAGGAAGCGGGAGAAGGAGAGGGAGGAGGAGCGGGAGAAGGAGCGGGAGTGGGGCTATGGCGGGATCTTTGTCATGTTGTTTGGTGGAGGAGCGGGAGGAGGAGGAGGAGCGGGAGGAGGAGCGGGAGCAGGAGTGGGAGGAGGGGGAGAAGGAGGGGGAGGGGATTGGGGATGGGGTTGCATCTCACAGCCCCTTGCTCCATACTCTCCTTCTCATTTTGCACATTCCAAGGCTGCTCAGTTCGAGCTGTTTGGGATCCTGAACTGTGCAATCGGATTTTCGAATACAATACTGAATGCCTTTTTCCTTTCGGTTTTTGCCTGCTGTCCTGTGCAACTCTGGAAGGAGCGGGAGGGGGAGCGGGAGGGGAAACGGGGAGGGGGTTAACGAACACACGGGAGCCGGAGGAGGGGGAGGAGATATAGGTGGAGGAGGAGAAGCGGGAGGAGCACGAGGAAGAGTGGGAGAAGGAGCGGCAGGAGGAACGGGGGGAAGAGCAGGGAAGCAGCGGGAGAAGGAGAAGCAGCAGGGGGGAGAGCCGGAGAAGGAGGAGGAGGAGGAGGAGAGGGAGGAGCAGCAGGAGAACGAGCAGGAGCGGGGCTATGGCGGGATCTTTGTCACGTTGTTTGGCGGAGGAGGAGTGGGAGGGGGAGGAGGAGGCGTGCCTTTTTTCACAATCAAACATAAATGCTCTTTTTTTCAATCGCGCGCGCTTGCACCACCACGCCTCTCATCGCCACGGCGGGCCCACTTGTTTAGATTAAAAAAAAAGCCATGTATTGGGAATAGTCAATAGTGGGAAAAACCCATGAGGAAACATGCAGTCTCTGCAGCAGAGCATATGGCAAGGTCAAACCCGCATTGTACACAATGGCTGACAAAATCTGGCTGCAAATGGCTTCATATTGAGCAACCTGATGTTGTAAGTGTGAAACCTAGTGGAACGGTCCGATCGCATTGCTTTATATATTGGGACTGGGGGACCTCTGGAACCTGAGTTCGATTACGGTGCACCCCGTTGCTGGCGACTGAGTAGCACCGATCTCGGTCGATACCTCCCTGTGTGTGTGGTCGAGGCTGTGGGCTCTGTGCTTGAGTGTTCCCTGTGTGTGGGTGGGTTCACTGCGCCAACAGGAGGCTGAACTCGGTGCGTCCAGCCTCCTGGCGGACATCCTCTCCTCGCACTGTCCTTGACACCCCTCACAAAAGCCATGTATTGGGAATAGTCAATAGTGGGAAAAACCCATGAGGAAAAAATGTCAAAAACCAGTTCAAGACACCCACGCAGATTCGGTCGAAGATTTACCACATGCCTACTATCCAATCGAACACTTACCACATGGCTACTATCCAGTCGAAGATTTAGCACATGCCTACTATCCAATTGAAGATTTACCACATGCCTACTATCCGATGGAACACTTACCACATGCCTACTATCCGATCGAAGATTTACCATATGCGTACTACCGTTCCGGGCAAGATGGAGTTATTCGTCTTAGGATCCCTGGTGCTTCCCTTGGGTCACCCGACCTCAGACATGTTTGTAAAAGAAATAGAAAGGGGAGCTATCAGACGAAGGACCTAAAACGACCAAGGTGTCAGATAAGACATTTGATCTGATGCATGAGGAATTGCACAGACTTCTTCATGCATCAGGTCAAATGTCTTATCTGACAAACAATTTCTGATCATGTTTCCTCTGGAGGCTTGTTGGCACGCGCATTATCTCCTCACTGCAACACCATGGTTGCTTGGGTCTGGGCAAGATGGCCTGATTTTGTGGTTTCGGACCCCCAAAACTCTAGGTTTGGATTTGGACATTTTTGTGCTCAACATAGAGGATGATAGCTTCATGAAGGACTGAATAGCTGGAGACCCCAAGGGGCACTCATCAGGGCCAGTCCTCAGGACCTTTTGTCCTGATTAAGAACCCTTCGCTCTGGGAGTATTCCAATTTAATCATTATGATGGAAAAGCAGCAAAACCCAAATTTGACGCAGGGACAAGAATCAGGTGAAATCTTTCAGTGCAAGCAGCGACATCCTCAATTACATACTCTGGAACATAATTACCTACATCAGATGATCAGACCACCAAAGATAGATACGTAGCAGTCGCCTATTATGCACCAAGCAGAGTAGTCACGCCGATGGTAGGCACCACACGATTGGTCGGCGGCCTACCAGCCGACCGTTGCACCTGTAGGCGCCTACTGGTCGGTTGTTGGTAGGCACCCTGCGCGCGGAAAAAAAGGAAAAGAAAGCGAGACTACCATACCCCCTGAATATTCCTTACTGCCACTCTCTGTATCCCCCCCATAATTGCGCTCTTAACACCCCATAACGGCCCCTAACACCCCATAACGGCCCCCAACACCCCCAACACCCCCCTAACATCCCTCTAACACTCCCCTAATACCCCCCTGATACCCCCTAACGCCCCCTCCCTAACCCCCCTCCCTCCCCAGAAGTTTGTCAGTGGTTTTGGGCTGTACCCAGCAAGTGCAGTACAGTCCCAAACTCAGATTAGAAGAAAACTCAGTGGATGGCCATCCTGTGACCAGTCGGCAGACCGACTACCCGTTGACCCTGCGGGTAGGCTGCGGAACGGTTGGCCGTTGGCATCAGCCGTAGTCTGCAAAACTACCCTGGTACCAAGCATTATCAGTTAGCGAATCAGAGAAAAAGAATGAAGGAACACAGAACTGACCAGGCCAGTTTGTGTAAAATTTGTGTGGAGTGGGAGAGGGACAATCTTTTTCACTACTTCGTCAGTTCCGGAGGGCTAGAAAAATATGGGGAAGGATGAGTGAAATACAGACTCAACTAATAGACTCAACCATTGCTTGAATTTGCTTCTGACCTGGCCACCGTACTGACAGGCCTATCACCAACGAGCACACAGCCGACCTATGAGCTCAACCAAACGACGAGACTAGAAGGAGAGACTGCACTGGAAAAAGTAGACAGTGGAGATCACATTGGGCAACCAAACGACGAGACTAGAAGGAGAGACTGCACTGGAAAAAGGAGGCAGTTGTTGCTGATTTTTTGCTTTTTTTCTTGTTTTTCTTTTTGTGTGATATATATGTGCTTTAGGGTACGTCATGTGTGCAGTTTTGACATGTTTGGATCAATAATGAAAAAGTTGGCATTTTGTTGAATTTGTTGGACGCTTCATTTTGACTCGGACAGTGTCTTTGTGTTAGGGTTTCATAGTGTTTTTTTGTTTTTTTTTTCGTTTTTTTTGGCCTGTTTCCTTTTTTGATGTTTGCACTATGTCTCATATCGTTTGTTTTAAAAAATTTTGATGAAATTCGCACCGCAATTGCCAACGAAAACGGCGAATATTTGGGCCCCCGTTAACCGTCTCTCACCCGATTGAACTTCAATCCACAACGAATTCACACGTTCCCATACACGCATGCAATTTCAGAGGAGAATCGAAGGAGGCAAATCCACACAAAACCAGAGAGGAGATATGCACAGCGGAAGCTCAAAATACACAGAGAATTGAAAAACGAATTTCAATTCTGCAATCCCTCATCCTCCTCCAATCAATCCAGAATACTTGTTCCAAGAATCCCAACCACGTTATCAACACCCATGGACCAATTATTTACAAGATTTCATCGAATACTTTGGGAGTCTTCTTCTTCCTCCCTCTTCCTCAAGCTCTAGCTATGGTGCCTGCGGGCACCCAACCTATCAAGCCTGCCAATCGCCACACACCCTCCTAAATCCAACACCCCTCTGCACCACTCGAGAAGCCCACTGCAGATGAAGTGTCCACTCAGCAGGGGAGCGCAGCTCCCAGGATGATGAAGAAGAACAGCAAATCGATGAAGATGAAGATCTGCCACTTCGAAGCAGGCATAGAGAAGCTGCTTCGATGGCAGCTGTCGAAACCCCAATAGGACAGCTATGGAGGAAGCACCACGCAGAGCAGGGCCTGATGTCCCTGGGCCAATTCCGCACCAGCCAGGTAAGCCCAGTTATGGCCGTCAGCTTCCCTTCAACGAGGAAGACGAACGAGCACTTTGAATTAGCGCAGCTCCAGCCGCGACCTCCAGCAGCACTTCGTGAAAAAAAAAAAATGATGAAGCAGAACCGCAAATTCGTCGGCCCCTGCTTACTTCTATCCTACTTCCTTAGACCTACAACACAGTAACCACCTACAGACCTATCTGACCGTCCAAACAGAAAACATCTACAGCTCAACAGTCAAGATCTACTTACATCCATCTAGATGGAATCCTAGACTAAGGGAAGGCTAGGACACACAAAGAAATACCTACGGGCCTACCAGTTTCCAGAAGGGCAGAAAAGGACAAAACAACAAGGCTGAGTGGCCTAAGACTACGAAGTAGAGACTACTAGCGACAGGTTCAAGGTTCAAGCCCTATAAACCTAAAAAACAGTCACACACCACAAACACACTACAAGTCAAGTCCTCCAACGCCCAAAACAAGGAACCAACAAACACAGTTTGTGTACACACAGACAAACACACACACACACAATACCAGTCACGGGACCGAATCCCGGAAAGCACAAAACAGGCAGCAACAAAATTAGTGTACAGCCCACATCTTACTACAATTCATTGCACAGTAGAGACTTAGCTTTTTTTTTCCCCCTACCCATCTTGCATCGGGCTCCAGTCTATTGGTGGGGAGCTACACCTGCTGGAAAGCAGGTCCAGTGAGGAGACAGAGAGCTAAGGGTGCTTTCTGAAGATGCGGCATACAAATGGAAAACCAACAGAGAAGGCAGGCAAGATCAGGGAGGAATTCTGTTGAGGAAGATTGGGCAATGGGAAAGTGGCGGAAGTGAGAGGCAAGAGACTAATTTCTGAGAACTGGATGGGTGTACAAGGTGTGAAAGGAACTGGGACCTTAAGGGCCTGTTTATTTCAAAAAACAGGAAAGAAAAAGAGCATTGGGATTCGCTAGTTGGCCACAGAGAACGAAGACCTGATGCCGATGGTCGGATAGTGTAAATCATGGAAGAAGGGGAAGGAGGGGCTGTTTTCAGCAGGATGAGAGCTTGAGTTGGCCGTTCCACTTGGAGGGGGTGGGTCAGGGGGGATGGGGGAACTCCAGTTCCACGGGCCATACTCTAGGGGGAATTGTATGTTGCTGAGGGAGCAGGGGTGTCCGTTTAGGGGGCTGTCTTGAACTGGAACCGATGAGACGGGGGCTGCTCCTGGCGGAGGCAGTGTAGGGACAGGGGGTCGGTTTTGAGGGAAGGGGGAAGTCTTGGGAAATACACTGAGTTTTTTGGGTGCTCCTTCATACGCTGGAAGTTCCACAGGAGGAGGCAGTTTTTTCCCTCCTCCTTCCTCCCTTTGTGGAGGTGAGAAGGTTGGAGGAGGCTCGGGCATCCCCACAGGTTGTGCAAGTTGGTTTGCCGGAATCTTACTAAAGATTACAAAACAGTTGGTCTTTGCTGGTCTTCAGCTGGTCAGGTGAAAAGTGCACTCGGGTGGGTTTGTAACTTTGTAGGGGCTATTGCTCACCGCTTCGTGTTTGGGTCGCACAGTAAGAGGTGAGTGCCTGTTTGGTTTGGGTATCAGGCATTCTGCCAGTGAAGGGGCTAGCTGGTAGGATGGGATTAGGGCATAGTGGTAGTTGAGATGGTGGCTCTGCTGCAGTAAGTCTTGCCGGAGTGGGGCAGGGGGATCGAGGGGTGATCCTGGGTGTTAACTTGACCAGTATTTTGCTTATGCAAGACCTAAGACCTGCTGTTTTCTTATAGCCCTATTGGTATGGTGTAGCGTCATGAGCTGGTTCCGAATAAGTTTGTTGTTACTTAGGCCTCTCTCTAGTTTTTTTTCAATCTTCAATTGTTCTCAGCTGAATCCGGGTTATGGCCCCGGTATTCCAATGATTTGTGTAATTCTATATGGGACGCTGGG